AGCAATTGGATGCACAGGGGCCAAGGCCAAACACTTGAAAGAGCTAATCCTTCATTCATGGTCTAGGTATTGGCGGCTCCAGTAGCTATCCTATTCCTATTCTTGTTGGGGGGGTTCTTAGTGTCAGAAGGAAGACATCCTAATACTCACATTAATTCTCAGTAGAACATATCCACCACTCCTGCTCCACTGGAAGCCATTGCAAAGAGCTGTTACCTCCTTCTCAAAGCCATGTCTATTGTTCCTCAAACCTTTCCATAGCAGTTGGACTTCGATCAATATTTGTCTGACTATCTTCGCAAACATGGAAGTCAAGATTTGTGGTTTAATAGGAATCTGGACTTATCATTTGTTGCTGTTAGTTATAGATGAATAATATATTTTACTTTCAAATATTTAAGAATAGTCTATGGTTTTTCATACTAAAAATCATTGTCATGTGCTACTTCTTTTAATGCTTTCATTTGGGGTACAGACAGCAGTGCTAATGTTTATGTCTGTATTTAACAAGCAACTATAAAATACATATAATTTCCAAATATTGAGCATATTATGTCCATGCAACAAAAAAACTCAGGAGGCAATATGTATGTGTTTAAACACTTGAAAAGCCAACTCAAAAATTTTTTTTTCTGATATACATTGGGAAGCTTGCAGTCATATAATTTTTCATCCAAAAATTCAAGTTTGGGAGAAAATAATCTAAAATACATATATAGCTATATGTATATATAATAGATATATGCACAGAAACGTTTATCCCAGTGTTATTTATATTATGGGGGGGGGAATTCAAAAGGGAAGAAAATCTAAATATCCCCAAACCAGGTAATATGGTCAAATATAATTTATAATAACTATACAATGTAATATTATGTTTGCCATTAAAAATGACTTTTCAGATTTTTTTTTAATAACAAGGCTAGTAATTATGAAAATATGCAATGTAATAAAGGATAAAAACTAGTTATAGCTTGGCTGGCGTGGTTCAGTGGTTGAGTGTCAACCTATGAACCAGGAGGTCATAGTTTGATTCCCATTCAAGGCATATGCTTGGGTTGCAGGCTGGAGCCCAGTGTGGGGCATGCTGGAGGCAGCCAATCAATGATTCTCTCATCATGGATGTTTCTATCTCTCTACTTCTCCCTTCCTCTCTGAAATCAATAAAAATATATTTTTAAAAAACTTGGTATAGATGAGATCTCATTGATACATACACAGAAATGAAAAAAGATGTTCATACTTATTTATTGATACTTCAAAGGAAAAGGGCGTAACAGGACTATGAGTATGTTGTGTGCTGTGAATGTTGTGTGTGTGTGTGTGTGAGAGATTTCTCATCCATTTTGCACTTTCCAAATTTTCTGCTATGAACTTGAGTAACTTTTGTAAATAAATTATTCATCTTCCCAACCCCCAAGGGGAAGGAGGAGGAACAGGAAGAGGAGGAAGAAGACTATTGTATGGAAGAAAGTGTTGACACTGAAGAATACTTTCAAGGACAGGACTAGGTAGAAGTGAGAAGGAAGGCTTATTTGAGTTTGCCTTGAGGAAGGATGCCCTTAAAGCTGGCTGTCACTAATGGTGGCTTCCTGAAGAATCCAGGCTGCTCCCTGGTGAAGCAAGAGTCTGGGAACTAAATATGGCTACATGTCTTTCAATGTTTCCTCCAAACTTGCAGGTTCTTAATTGTGAGAATCTAAGTGCTCCATAGTTTAGGAAAATGTAGGCTTTTCTGCAGGAAATATTTTATTTTGTTGTTGTCATTTGTGTAATATGGATAACTCTCACATTTCCCGCCAAGAGGAATGAGAGTTCTTATTTCAATCTGCCTTCCTGGAATAATAAAATGAAATTTAGGGTGAATATTGGCCTATATGAAACTCACTTTCAGCCCCTAGCTTTGAAGCTGTGTGGGATCAGTTTAGAATATTTCCTCAGCCACCCTACAGGTCATTCAAGCCTGGCACTGGCCCATCAGGCCTCCCTGCCCCTACGGTTCTGTATGTGGTTCAGCATGCAGACTTGTGGGCCCATGCTTTTCCTCCTGCCACTCAGGTACCACCTGCCTTGTGCCTCATGTTCTCATGTCATCTTTTGAGTTTGTGTCCAACTTCTTAGGGCCCAGATCATAAATAGGATCTGATGAAATCACTATTGCAAAGTAACATAACAATGGAATTCATGTGGTTTCTTTTCCAAGTAACTTACTTCCACATGCTGGGGTTTTCTTGTGATGGGTAGCTAGTGGGGAAAAGTGGTGGCTTGAGGCAGGAGTTCCTTATCTATAGACCATTTAGAGCTCACACATTGGCAGCCATGTCTAGTGTTGGTTCACTATCAGCCAGTTTTATGAACTCCCATTTTTATAAAAATAGTTTTTGGAGTCCTTCTGCACATTTTTTAGCATCTTTTTTCCCCCAAGAAATGTTCTGACATATTCCTCATATCTGCTTGGAAAATGCAGTGTACCCACTTATTTGTGTGCTTTACTGAATATTGGAGCAGGAGGCATGCTCAAGAGGACTGGGAGATTTTGTTCTTCCCTAAGTAAATATAGCGATCCATTTGAAAATTACATTTCACCTGTCTGCTTTGTACAAATGACCATATTTTGGTAACTATCTAGTGCATTGGCAATTTCGACTCCAGCTTGAAAGGATAAAAGCAATGGCTCTAACAGCCCACATTTGCTGACAAATTGAGGCAAGAAAATGTTCTGCAGCTTCAATGTCATGCAGGACTAGGTTTTGGCGCTATTCTTCATGATGGCCTTCTGGGTTGTTGATGACATGTCATGCTTTGTTTCTGAAATGGTGTGCATGTGTGCAATGAAAGAAAAACATCAAAGCAATGTTTCTCAACCATATTTTTATTTTGTGCGTGTGTCCATATTGTTATTACTCATAAAAGTAATTTTGTCCTGTCCCCTCTCTCCATAGATTGTCCTAACAGGACAAATCTTTTTCAAAGCTGTTTTATGTACTGGTCTCTCTCCCAGCACAAGGACAAGGCCTGGCATATAATAAATATACATTGAATGACTAAATGAATTAATTAAATCTTATTATGATGATATATTACCTTTGGTCAGTGCCACTGAAATGATTTACCATTCCATCCTGGGACTTTTGACTGGAATGTATTGGGTTGTTGGAAGTACTTTACAAATTTTTTCCATTTTTGTTGTGAAGGTAAGTGAAATTTCAGAGCATTTATATTTTCAAATCATGAATTGAGTTTGTCAGTTCCTACAACACGGTGTGGCAGTGTATAAAGAGAATAGGCGAAGACATGAGTTATTCTCATTTTTAGATTTTTCTTTTCAAATCTTTTCCATATGATGCATTGAAGATTAAGATTAGCAAGTGAAAACAGAATCATGCAAGTAAATCTTTCAAATGACAAAAGTAAAATTTGATGGCTGTTAAAACCTTAGATAGACAATAAAAATAAATATCATTTATTTTATTGAGTTAAGTGATTAAAATTTCAATATTCAAACCAGAAATTTAGCCCTGCACCTAGAAAGTTTCTTTTAACTTCTTAGTTATTGTTTCCTAACTGGGGAAGAACAACACTTCTGTGTGTCTCACTCCCACTGTTCTTTGATGCTTGAAAAAAAATGTATATGCAAGAATGTTTGTATACATAGATATTTGTAAATGTTCATTGTGTACAGCATTTTAAAATTTTATTTTAACTTTATTAATCATTAATCCTCACCTGAGAATATTTTTCCAATGATTTTTAGGGAGAGTAGAAGAGAGAGGGAAAGACAGAGAGAAACATCTCTGTGAGAGAAACACATTGCGTGGTTGCCTCTTGCAGGAGTCCCGACCAGGGCCTGGGCTGGGGAGTAGCTTGCAACCGAGGTACATGCCTTTGGCCGGAATTGAACCTGGGACCCTTTGATACTCATGCTGACACTATTCACTGAGCCAAACCGGCTATGACTGTATAGCATCTTTAAAAAAAATAAATAAAGGGTTACCCTTTAGATATCATCATTTTCTACTCCTTAAAAGTGACATGAAATTGGAGAAAGAAAAAATGGAGAGAATGCTGGCTAGTCTATGTGTTTCACGTTGTCTAGACCATAGAACCCATTTATTTAATCAAACACTAATCTAAGTGTTACTGTCTAGATATGTTGTGGATGTGATTAACATCTATAATCCATTGGCTTTCAGAAAATGAGAATACCCTGGATTATGTGGGTGGACCACATCCAATCAGTTGGAAAGCTTTAAACAAAAAACAGAAGTTTTCCTGTAGAAGGAATTCTGCTCAAGCTTACAGCACCAAATCCTGTCTGAGTTTTCAGCCTGTCAGGCTGACCTATGCACTTCAGACATGCCTGGTCCTAAAGTAGTGTGAACCTATCCCTAAAATAAATATCTTTATATGCATGTATGTAAATCCATATATGTGTATATACATGTACTAGTGTGTATATATGTAAATGTATATGTATGCATATGTATGCATTGGTCTGTTTTCTAGAGAACCCTGATTGATACAGGTGGTGAGTGGGCTAAGAAAAAAAAAAGTCACATCTGTGTAGTAAATGTTTTTCACTTTATAGTAGTTTTTTGAAGCTAATGATATTTCTGAAGTTTGGCAGTATCTATTAATAAGTTATAGCACCAAGTGCATGCAAAAGAGTCAATAAATTCACAAGGTAAATACACTTTAAAGGGTATACTGCTCTGAACCCAAGAGGCATCTGAGCCTCAGATCAAACAGAAACTTCCAAATGTTTTGAAGCCCAAGCTCCTGTCACCAGCACTGCGCTGTCCATCTGCCAATCAGGCAGCACCTTGACATTGCACAAAAGTTCCCCTGGGTATTTAGGTAAACACGTACACATCCATAGAGCTGGTCTTGTGGAATAAAAGATACTGATTCTCTTCAGAAGCACAGAACTGCTGTGCATGCAGACCTAAACAAACAACACACACATTTGTGGGGAAACAAACGAAAACAAACAAACTTGCTTTGAACAGCAGGAGACGACGTTTTGGCAGCTGAACAGGGCAAGAGCTTCATGAGGCGCTCTTTGATGCTGCGCTTGGTGCTGTTCTGAGCGTAGAGGAAACCTAGAAGATACCGACAGGTTCCGTTAACTCTGTCTTCCCCAGGACACTAGGGCGGGTGGGCTGCACCGGTATCAGAGGAAGCCAGCAGGCAGGACCTATACTCAGCCAGCAGCTCAGGCAATCACAGGCAGTAGGTTGGGACTCCAGAAGGAAAAAAAAAATCTTTCCCCTTTCTGTTATTCTTATATTTTGGTTTTTCTTTCCAAACCTTTTCCTTGTGTTACATTAAACATAATGATTAGCAAGTGAAAACAGAATCATGCAAGCATTTCTTCTGAGTGACAAGAATTTGGTGGCTTCTTTTTTACCTTAGATGGGAAATAACGCCAATATCATTGAAAGAGTTAACAGAATTGAAATGTAAATATTCAAACCAGCATTAAGGGCCCCATGGTAGTGTTCTGTTCTCATTGCTCCTCATCTCTGATTGCCAAGGACAGAGATGCTTTGCATAAATCATTCACACTGCAATCACCTGTTAGTACCTTTGCCTTCCCTGAAAGTGAGAGAATAGATGTCCTTGATATGCAGCATCATTAGCATAAAATGACAAGCCCAGAGGGAGACAGTCCTTCACATGCCCACATTACTGGATGGAATTATTCAAGCAGAGTAACTCCAAAACAAGCAAGGTGTGTTTGAAACTGTTAACCAGGAGTAGACAAGGGTGTCTGTGACTTCAGAAGATAGTCTGGGAGAATTCAAGAAAAATCACGAGTCACCCCCATGGGCAAGGTCCCCAAACTTGACTGTCCAACGCAGATTCAGCCTGCCTACTCTGCGTGCCCAGAAGCCTGAATTTGCACGTGAATAGATATATTACCTCCCCCATATCCGTTTATAAAGTATTGAATATAAAGGGACAGCAAAGGAAGCTATTTAATTAAGATTAGAGCAATCTTTATAATATGGGCCTTGCAAATATATTGCTTGTTGCTTTTGTACTTTATAATAATTTTGATCTCATACTTATAAGAAGTTCTGATCAAAAGGCTACTGATCTCTTTTCCTTTGGGGCTGTTTCTCCCCCTCCCCTCCTCCCCCCACCTTAGTGTTTATTGGCTATGAAACCTGACAGATCTCTTGAATGGGACATGACAATAAATTAGTAGATACATAAATCAAATCAGATCATACTTCCTGCTTAAAAGCCCTTAAAGCCTTCATGTTGTCCTTTGGAGTAAAATCTCATTTGCCACCATATACCCCTGGCCCCTTCCTCTGACAGTTTTTCTCACCACCCTCCCTAGTGCTCCTAATGCGGCCTCAGCCATAGGCCATACCCAGTGTCTTGACTTTGTTGGCCTTTCCCCTGGTCTTGGCACTGACTTGGTGTGAAATGTCTTATTCACTCCATCTCCCAGGTGCTGGCTGAGGGTCTGGTACATAGGAGGAGATCAATAAATGTCTGGCAAACTAGTGAATAAATTCACTTTTGATAACAAAAGAAGACCTGATTTCACTTTCTAGATTAGTATCTAGGTAACCTTTTAAACTTCTAAAACAAAGTAAATCCGATTCACATATCACAGATTCTTTTATTTAAAACATTATATATATATATATAGATATATATATATACACACACACATATATATGTATATATATGTATATATGTATATAATCTTTTAAAAATTTTTTTTTTTTTTTTTTTCAGAAAGAAAGGAAGAGGAAGAGAGAGATAGAACATCCACACCTGGGATTGAGCCCATGACCCAGGCATGTGTCCTGACTGGGAATTAAACCATGACCTCCTGGTTCATAGGTTGTTGCTCAACCACTGAGCCTTCCAGCCAGGCTAACATGGACTCTAGTTGGACTTTTTCTACGGCTTTGTGAAGGGCACGTCCATCTAAGAGCCACCTCCTTCGTAGGACATTGGGTTTTGCTTTACTCCCCAAGCATGATGCAGCTTCTTCCCTTCAGGTCACTGGAAGCTTCCATCCCACTGTATGGGGAATCTGGTGGGCCCTCCAATTACCAATTTCTAAATGCCCATGCAGACTTTCTAACTCAATTCAAATACACTTGCCTCTGGCAAGCTGGCCCTGTTGTATCCTGACAACTTCCCCTCCTCTGCTCTAACTTCTCTATTGTTCCCCAATCACAGTCTATTGTTCTGAATGTCACACCCTATTGCAGAGTGAAACCCTATTCTGATAAAGAATTAGACAGAAGGTTCGGCCACATGCCTTCAGTTTTTTGTTTTTGTTTTTAATATATTTTTTATTGCTTTTTTACAGAGAGGAAGGAAGAGGGATAGAGATTTAGAAACATCAATGAGAGAGAAACATCAATCTGCTGCCTCCTGCACACCTCTTACTGGGGATGTGCCTGCAACTGGAATCGAACAGGTTTGACTGGAATCGAACCTGGGACCTTTCAGTCCACAGACCAATGCTCTATCCATTGAGCCAAACCGGTTAAGGTCCTCTATTTCTCCTTTATCACAAATCTAAATTTCCTTTATCTTTATTATCACAAATATAATTAAAACAATTAATAATACAACCATGGATTTGACATATGTCTTCCCTACTGCAATGTAAGACTGAAAATCTCTACTTGCAGACTTTAGAGAATTAATGTTACTGGATGTGCTATTCTGCTCTAAGCAACTGTAAAATTGGACCAGCTGTGTGAGAAAACTGTTTTCAAGCACTGAACAACAAAAAACTCTTGCTTTAATTAATCTTACATTATAGTCGGGGAAGAAAAATAATAAACAAAAATCAATTGCAAAATAGAGAGTTGGGTAGGAATAAGGTCTAGAGACTTCTATTGCTGGATAGATAGGTAGGGAGGTGTGGTGGGGAAGATTTGTAATTTTAAATATTGTGGCCAGGGAAGGTGTCATTGGAGTTATATTTGAGCAAAAATATCTTGTGAGATGAGAAAGCTCATTACCTTATTTGGATTATTAGCAAGCAGTACAGAGTATTACATATATTAGTGCTAACATATATTTGTGGAATACTCATTTATTAAGTTATTCAATGAACATTTTTAGTGCTTACTATGGACAAAGTAATACCATAATTATTTGGCTATATAAACTACTGAGTTTAATAATCTATTTACAAATTTATTGCCTTAGGAATGAAAATGACATCAACTCCCTTATCTCTGCGTGGAGAAGTTAAACCAGTCTTTTAGTATACTAGCACTTCAAAAATCATGTAATAGAGCAATAAAAAAAAAAAGAATACAAAGTAAATGTCTCAATTAATAGGCCACTTTAAATTGTGATGGAAATGACTGAAAATGCAATCATTTTTTTCCCATTGGGAAAGGTTTTATCTTATAAAATCTGAGCTTACTGAAAACATATCAGCCATCAGCATCTCCATATTTCTGACCCTCTGCATCTCAATAGAGGTATATGCAAGGGGTCATTTTTCACTGACTGCTTTTCTCTTACACACAAAAATGCTGGTTACATGTCAGTGTCAGGTTTTAGTAGTGGGTGATGGGATATGAATTATGAATTCAAGAAGTAATGCCCATGGTGATAGACATGGCAATTTCTCCATAACAAGAATTTTGCTTATCTTCCTTCTTTTTGCAGTAGAGCTGATAGCAAAACCACATATTCTCTGTGGCTTTGCATGGGAATAAAGGCTCTGCTCTGTTATTCAGAGCCCTGTTCAGCCTCTATCTTGTGCTTTTGAATTATGGACAATGTTTTGCTTCCTAGACCCTAGCCTGTGGTGTAGGAAAATGGCTAGTGATGTTTCCATGCCCTTCCACAAATAAACAACTCTGATAAAATTATTAGGAGTTTCAATGGCCCTGTGATCCCATCTGTGTATCCTCTGGATCCTTGACAAGGTAATTCATGAGCAGTGACTTCATGCCAGGGCTGGGAAGTACATTCTTTATTGGTTGCAAATGTGAACTTATTTGCCAGCATGTCTGTTTTTTCCATGGGCTTACAGCTCATAAATATTCAGAGGATTTTAAGTGGAATACTAAAAATATTTAATTAACCCCCAATTAGTCAGGGCAGAGGAATAGATAAGTAAAGAGAATACATAATAGGATAGTAGACTTTGATGAAAACAGATCAAAGTTCATTTTGTATTTTCAAATTTATTCCTAAAGAAACAGGGTCCCCTATAATTTGGAGTTCATACTCTGGGGATCATGCTTGCTGAAAATTGCTGCCATACTAGACTGATTGCTATTGGACCCTGCAGCACCCCTTTTAGGAAGGACAGCAGCAGGGTTGGTCACTGGAAATCATGGGAAAATATCTATCCTTAATTGTGTCACTACGAATTTTGGAGGCAGAACTCTGACCCTTGCTAATGGGCCTGTTTCATTTTGCCTGATTATAAAATTACCTCTTCTTATCTATCAATTAATTAAGAAGGAGGAAACCGAAAGGTGCTTGAGTGCTTGAATTTACTCCAAATGATCTACAAAATCTAAATGCAAATAGAGTAAATGCAACTCTTCTTAGAACTGCAACTTGAAGACGTGTTTGTCATAAAATAAGTACTGATCTGTCTGTCAGCCTCTCAGTCTTGCTCCTCTATCTCTCTAGCTCTGTGTGCCTCACTCTCTTCCTTAGTCTTTATCTTTTCCTCATCTCTCTGTGTCCCTTGCCCTCTCTCTGCATGCCTCTGCCTGTCTTTGTTTTTCTATGTCTCTGTGTGTCTCTCTCTTTCACCTTTCTCTGTCCTCTATCTCTGTCTGGCTGGCTGTCTCTGCCTCTGACTCAATCAAGGGTGGGTCCCATTTCATCTGCTTTACTTTTGTGTTGATTGCATGCCTCATGAAACATTTAGAGAGAGCCTTAGTCTGCTGAGGACAGGATGGTTATTAGCTGAACAACTGCATGACCGAAAACCACAGTGCTTTCCAGATCAGGACTAAGTGTTTGCCACTGTCCACGAGATTGCTCTGCTCTATTGGCAGAACTAGCCAGAGAACACAGCAGAAAATGAGAAGATAAAAGCATCAGTTTTCTTTGGGAACCTTTAAGAGCCATGATG